TGGTTTGAGTGACATGTGTGGCAACTAGGCAACGATGACACTGGTCGATTATCAATAGGCCTCTCTTTCGACAGAGAGAGACTTAATGTTTGTGTTCAAATGTTTTCGTCACAGATATTGTGGGGCGTATGGATACGATCGACTGGTGAAAAACAACTTAATTACGGGCTTTCTTGGTCATGTGGGACGCGAGTAAAGTGCTGCAGTCGGGCCGTTTTTCTGTTTTTGTTTTTCGTGATAGAATGGTATCTTGTTCGTCGTTATCCGTGTGCGGTTGTGTCGACATGTGTAAATATGCGTGGTAATATTCTAGTTTTCACTGGAAGGTGAATAACAAGTTTGTGTGATTATACAAAGTGCGTTGTTTGTGCTTAAGTGTTTATTTATACTAATGTTATTTTATTGCCTTTACCACAGTTATACTAGAATCTTAACTGTATTAAGGGAATGTAATTATTGTATACAAAATAGGTTATATTTTGTTCTTAGGCAGCTCGAGCCCATAAGAAGAAGTAAATTAGTTCGCTGCAAATAGTAAGTTTAGTACCTCTGCCACACGGAAAAGTGAATATATTTTCATTAAATGACATTGGACTTAATCAGCTCGCAGTCTTGAATAATTATACGAGCGTCGCAAGTTGATTTGTCGACCCCATAATGTCATTTGATCGAAATTACATTACTTTTACCATGTGGCCAGGGTATGATGCAAGAATTCAGTGGCTGCATGCGATAACATAGCTTACATGACAATAACTGACACTTGTCTAGCCCTGTCCGCGCTGACTACGTCTACCTGATCTTTAACTGTGATCTGTTTTGCTGTGTCCAATCACTATGTGTCTTGCCATTTTGTCGAAGTATTTCTGAGTAAAATATGCATTCCTACAGCAATAATTGCGCGACTCAATGTTTTCTTTTATACGCCTACCTCGTACCATTTCATACCGATTATTTAGCAGTGTAATATTTTGCCCATGTAATAAAATATTTTTGAGACCCGTTGCTATGTGCAGCTTTCATTTTAGCTAATAAGACATGCGTATGTGACTAAAAGCGCGTTATGACGGTTGATCCACGCGCGCCCCCGATGGCCTTCCTTCGCGAAGTCACAAGAGCGCTACGGCCTTCTCTTTTAGGAGGTGTTGGATAAAGTCTTCCACAAAGAAAGAATGAGCCACCCGGCCAATAAATGACAAGGCATAGACAGCGGTGCTACGGCCAAAGTGTGGTGATGGGCCATTCGTTCCCTGTGGGGTTTGACGGGGTTTTAATTGATAAAAAATCTCTAAAGTGTTACAACCAAGCTGCAATAAAGAAGAACTTGATATCCCCACAGGAGATACTGGCCCAACATGGCAGCTTTTTGTTGGCTGAGAATGAGCCAATTGATTGTATGTTAATCCAGCACTTGAGTATGGTGAGCAAATAGACCGTCTTTTGGTTTATAAAATGTGTTGCTGCATGCCGTTTACCCTAAATAATCTGGACCAAAAAATTAATATTTCCTCACTGTTCAATTAAAGGCTTGGAATGATATGTGTGCACACTGTTTAGAAAAGATTATGCAGCCTGTGGAAAACATTTGTAGAAAGCTAAAGCTGCCACTAAATTATGAAGTGAGAGACCCTGTGTAGACCATAAAATAAAGCATGCTTAAATTATCCCCTTCTATATTATTTCACAAGTTCCATGCAGCAACACTCCAGAAGTGCAAAGACTGGCTTGACAAGCATTAGCCAAATACCAAAAGGGACGAGTTAACTAAGCCAATTTAAGCCTCACTCAGTCAAGAATGGTAACAAGAATGAGGAATCTTAAGTAGCAAGGTTCTCTTCCGGGAGAAAAAGTGCTGCACGATAGAAACTTTTCCTGAATGGCATCGTTCAGAAGTTCAAAACAAAAGTAGACAACAACTTGAGGAAATGTCTTGCCAGTCACAATGACCTGGTCAATTATACCTATCAGCTATTTTTGTATGCCTGTTCCTTGTTAAAAGAAAGTCAAAGGAGTGACTCCCAGCATCATAATTGTTTGCGAAATTACAATGCTGTAAGAATTCTTAAGAATCAGCTGAGTGTATCACTGCCTAGTATTTGAAGCTTTTATTCATAGTTTGCAGTTTTTCCAGTGAAAGGAGAATTAGTTCAGACATTCCTGTAAAACAAGCTCTCCTTTTCCATTCCTAGAAAAATCCTCTTTAATCATTGAGCATATAACCATGTCATGATCAAACAATAACTGAATCCCTTTCAATGTAAATTTGAGAGATAAAAGCTGAGGACTCGGGTTGCTTACAAAGGGAATCAGGTCAACAAACAGTCAGGGAACTAAGCTGTCATCTTCAGCGACACCAACAGTGTAAATAAAAGCTTTAAATTTTTTTCTTTTGTTACTGCTATATAAGCGCTTTCCAAGTTAGACATCCTTCATATATACTACCTACAAGATACTGCATCCCATCTTTGAAACACATTATTCCAGAATTTAGAAAATGTAAAAGCAAATGGTTTCTACCTAAACCCTCGTTCCATACATATCTTGAAGATATGCGAAACACAAAGCAGCACACAATATTTTAACCATGACATTTAATTTAAAAAAAAAAGGAAATGGCAATTAGTTTACATTAAATTCAATCCAACAATAAAATTGAGTTAAAAACCTGCACTGGCAAGTGACAAAGACGAAGGAAGTTTAACTGCCAAGTCCATTTCAAATGCTGTGCGGGGGGAAACTATACATCGCAAAGCTAGCACAATGAAAAATAAATTTGGCAGATTCATCAAAGCCTACTCAGTAGGACACACTCGAGCAGCGCCCTGGTTGCATGGCACAGTCCCGATAAAATAAAGTCAACCAAAATAAGTTTCGAGTATTTTCTACATTAACTAATCACTCCAAATACATCATCTACTGTCTCTCTCTCTCCGAGTATGAAAGAGCAGTACCTGGACATACCTTTACTATTTCAAACAAGAAGATAATGAACATATTGCTCCCCACAAGTCAACATTTGTAGAAGAGTAAAAGTGCCTGGTCATCCACTTTGTTTTGTAACCAAAGGTGCCGACTCCTTAGGATTGTGTGCCCCAAGACCTCGTAAAATCTCTTACGACGAGAGAACACACTGACATATGCTGGCGCCATCTATGCAGTGACCCTGTAACTGCACCTCACTAGAGCAAAGATGTCGCAGCATTTGTGATGTCAAATGTAGTACGCACTTCCCACGAGAATCGTTGGCAATGCTGACAAAAGCCTTTCGAGCAAAAAAAGAAAGAATAATGCGCAAAAAATAATAAGAAATATAAAACCCCGCTGGTGTTCTACAGCTATCCAATAGGTGGCGGCATTGTGTGTTCATTCGTCGTGAGATTTTAAGGGGTTTCTGGGCGCTCAGTTCTAAGGAGTTGCAAGTGTGTGGACGGACGGGCCTTTGCACTCTCTGGTAATATCTGAGTCACGCTATTCTGTTTCATACCCTGTAAATCTATGATTTATGAAAAAACAATGCCGTTCGTACGACTCAGGATCAACAAAACATCCACAAAATATGCGGCATTGTAGACAGATGGTGTACAACAAAATAAAAATAACTATTCTGCTTTCACTTCGCTATTTTTATACTTGCTGGAACATTCAAGCTCCTGAGGAGCAGTGGAATGGAATGCTGGAGACAGCTGGAGGCTAAGGACTATTACTCGAAAGAGGAGAGCGCGGTCCTCTAGCCAACTGCAGTCTGACATGAGAATGACCTTTATTTACGAGCCACCTAACACGCAGCTAGCACATTCACCCTCAAACACATTTTTCATTTCTTCCATCGTAAACTGAAAGGTTTACAAAAGATTTTGTGCATGGGCCATCTGTACCCACTTTTTCATTATTTCTAAGAGTACCCCGAGAATGCATTGGTTAATTTCAGTTCACACATAGTAAACAGACTATCCTGTGGCTTGCAAAGAAGAAAGAGTTGTAGACTTTGCAAGGAACATATAACACAGAGCTCGAAAGATACTTAGGTCACATCTGCACCCATCTACTATTCAGCTTTGCTTTTTAGCTAAATCAGCTAAACATTTTTTCCCAAACTGTTCGGAGCTCACAATGCCGCTAGACTCTTGTTGAGACTTCACCAGGTTTCACTGGACATTAATATTAACAAAAAGAAGTGCCTAAAATAGATAGAGCATTCAACTTCAAAATACATATTTTAGGAAGAACATAAATTAACCAAAAAATCAGTTTCAGGTACACATGCACCGTGCTCGACACGCTCAACGAGATGAAGAAATAATGAAGCTAAACAGACCAGTGGAGCGCGAATGTCATTGCGCTTGCTGCAATGTCGGCTCTAGAGTATTCTGCACATTGTTCATGCAGTACGTAAAATAATTTCAACAAGATATGGTTGCCAACAAAAAAACAAAAACAATGTTTATCGTGGTTAAAACATGCATATTTCACTGAACTAACAAACAACTCATCTTAAGAACGTGCATAAAAAATAATATTGTCACCATTGGGCTGGTTGGAGAGCCATCCACTGGCTAGTGTGCAAATATACTATTTTCATTTCTTCTTGATCTGGCCTCTTTAATTCGTGGTTTTTTCTGTCTAGCTCATTTGACCGAAGGCTTACACCACAGAGTGCTGGCTACTTTAAAGCAGTGCCGATGGCGCTTTCAGTTGTTCGCGGTCATGAGGCATTTTCTCTCCGATTTCACCGGATTCTGTCTGGCATATAGTGGTTAACTAACCAAGACACAAAGAACCCAAGAATTTAATCCAATTTCTAAGACCTAGTAGTGAATTTCATCATCTGGCAAAGCTGACTCACAAACATTCTCTTTCAAAATTTGGCAGGCAGGATTAGAGCACCATATTTTGCCAGAAATTGTTTTAATGACCATGCAATCTTGATTTAGTTTTTTTTTTTTTTTTAACTCCTCTGTTTTTAGTATTAGAATGCTTCAATACGTTTCCCATCTACTCACTGCTTAAGTGGATCCGTCTCCACAGGGGTGCCCGTGGGTAGCTGAAGATAGAGAAACAGCTTCTCGATGTCCGACAGTTGGCCGACATCCTCCTAAGAATTTTCGAGAAAAGAGCAAGCGTCTTAGGGTCGTCCTACGACTCTTAGGCCGCAAAAGTATGTTGTGGACTGCATCTCCGAGCATGGATTCAGTGGGTAGGCAGCAGACACTTCAACGTCTTACGATGAAAAGAGAATCTATACATGCATGCAAGGCAGAAGGTACTCACAATGAAAGCTGCAATCTTCTTTCTCGAATCCTCACTAGAAACAAGGAGCGTGTGTTGAAAGAAAAATTCAGGTTGAAAGACCTTGAGCACTGTGCATTTGTATCAGTCCCATTCACGTGGTACCGCTGTACGAGAAGCGGTCACTTCTAATATTGTCAAAATTATTTCAAGTACACGGTGGAAGAATGGGGCGTAAAATATTCACGGACCGGAAGAGAGGGCTACCAATAGATGGAGCCAGCGTGTTCTTCCTCGTAAGCGGTCACAACTGATTGCTATAAAAAGCAATCACTTGTGATTGCTTATGCACAGTCCACTGCACTTGAAAGCAAGCGTACATAGGTATAACACAATCAACGTAAATTCTAAATAGATGACCTGATTATCAAATTGAAATAAGGATGGACAAGCCATTCTAACCTAACAACCAAATTAAAAAAAAAAAAAAGATCTTTGCACACAAAAAAGAGTCATGATGACTTTTTCTTTTTGTGCAGATTTTTTTTTTTTTTTTTTTCCATTTGCGAGAGTAGTGGAAGTTCGTCTTCTCGCTCCTATCTCACGCAGGAACTTCCCACTGCCCGCGCGCACTGTATCTGGCGGCGTTCGGATATATGCCATCACTCCCCGCAGTGTCATACACTTGTACCACTACGCCAGCATGCATCTCGTCGCGTGCTCTGCTGCGCCGAAACGAGGTACCGCGATTCCCCGCCTACAACAGGCGTCGACACTGCGCCGAGTCTCCGCAGTAAAATCGCAACGAATTGACGGGTTTTTCAAGCCGTGTCACTCGCTCAAACGCGAATATTTCGCTCATTCGGTGCGAACAAGCGCCCGAACGAAGTGCCACAACTGCGACAAAAGGAGGTATTTAAGCGCGAAGAGTGCCGCAACCGCGCGCCTTCCTGCGCGCTTTTTTTCTTTTCCCTTTTTTTTTTTTTAATTTCTTTGTTTAACAAACACTGACACGCGTGTATACCTCCTTCGTTAAACCGAGTGATTAGCAAAATAAGTCGGCCAAACGTTCGCACAGAGTATGATTAGTTGGGAGGCAAACGATTTCTGCCCGACCGCCTCTTTTTGCTTTTATTTTTTTCTCCGAGGCACACATCACCAAGTCGCGCACCAGCACTCGCGTTCGCTAGCGTAACATAACGTGGTGAACAGCAAAAACCGAAGGGAAGGACAGCCAGTGTCGTCACTGGTCACTTCGATCACTAACAATAAACCATTCGCAATCCGCGCGACGAAGCCGACAAAAAAAGAACAAAAAAAAAGCGTGCCATTGTTTGTGGTTTGGTTAGCTTTCGCACTGCGAGGGCTGGCTCACCTGATCGACTGCTCGATGTGGGACTTCATCCAGTTGTTCTTGGCCGGCTTGGCGTCCGCTTCCAGCGATCCCGAAAACATGCCCATGTTTTCGGATCCAGTGGCATCGTTTTTCTTGTCGACTCCGTTACTCAAATGACTAATGTCAATAACGGAGGAGTCTCCAGCTTCCAGCTTACAATGCTCTTCTTTCGGGCACGCCGAACCCGCTTCGGACTTCGACGACGTCTTTTCCTTCTTGAACGTCTTGGTTTTCGCGGAATCCATGACTGAGGGTAACATTCACGGTTTCATGACAAAGGACACGCTTATTTAAAACGATTACCATTTTGGCACGGGAATCAGCTGGACGAGTTTGTTAGAGGACGCTGTGAAACATGTCGCCAGATCCACCCGCCGATGTTGCCATCCCGTCAATCGTCGCGACGAGCTGACCAGCAAATTCGGAAATAATTTAAAAGTCACCTGGCTACATTTCCGTCAACAGATAACGTTTCTTTCGATATGCGAGCGTTTCGTTCATTAGTGAATCAATCTGGTTTTCTCGGCAGCCGGTCGATAACGCGCATGCGCAGAACAAGCCTCGCTTTTTTTTTCTTTTTTTCTGCTGCTTTTTTTTTGTACATTTTTAAACATATTTTATGCGCATGCTTGTATTCGACAATCGATCTCAGTACGCCTGCGCGACCCGTGCTAAACTATTTAGACAAAATAATACCGTAATACCATAAAACACGCAATGGCACTGAGGGTCGAGTGTTTTCGTTGCCGTAATTGTATACTGCGCCGTCTACCGATGTATGGCACGCTTGGCCGGCGGGAGCGCACATATGTTCCGATCTTGTGTCCGAAGGATACGTGGAAAAAGCAACAAAACACATCAAATTATGATACAAACATAGAGCAAAGAGGCACGGAACTACGCTAGCGCGCCCCGTGGAGGAGCTTTCACGGCTAACAAATGCCAGGGGGCGTTTTTGCTATTCCCAAGAATTGGCGTTGCGGCGAAGGGAACGAGCAGCAGCTGCAGCAGCTGTGAAGTGTGCAACGCGGACTTTTAAATTTGACGATGGTGAGCGGCAGCCTCTCGCTTTGTCACGGCGCGACAGACTTAATGGAATCTAGTGAATTCGCGAGCACTTGCCATCAATGCCTGTAACTATACGTTGTATTATTTCAATTTTGTTAATTGGCACACTCTGTATGCGAAGTGTCGCGTTATGCACTCTTATTTTTTACGTGCATGATGAATGTGTATGCCGTTGGTGTGTACCTTAGACTTCATGGTTTACTGTCGACCCGCACCCGAGAACGAGGGGAAAAAAAAAATGAAAATAAATATGTTGCACCTTTCTGATTTACTAAGCCTATTTTTGCATGTTCCAGCACCGCGTTGATCGCACTTGTTTCATTCATGCTTATCTGTGTCATATGCACCATGTTGAAGGTGAAAGGGCGAAAGTAAGCCCATGTTGAAAGTGAAACTAAACAGCGTCACATAGACTTGTACCGCAGAGAGCTAAAACTTTAATGAAAATAATATTCTAGTGCTGCATTTTACCTTATCGAATTGCAATGCATAGTTCTGTTTCTGTAAAAAAAAAAAAAAAAAAAAAAGAAAACTGGAGCAACATTTCCGGGATTTTAACGGTTGACTCCCACCGTTGACTCCCACACAGAGAACCGCCAATCGCCAGAGAATCGCGTTTGTGGCGTCATCTGCCAATAGGTGCAGCAAGTATATCTTAGTACGAGGTTTGCTTTCAACCCTACGCTTGTTACACTTCCCAAGAGATGGCACTACAAGCCTAACTTAAACCACTAAATAGATGGCGCAAGCCGCCGCCTGATTTAAGGTTCTACCGTTTGCATCTATGCTCAGTCGTTTGCAGACGTCTGCGTTGGCGGCCTCAATAACTCTATGGGCAGCCTACGTCGGACGGCGGAAGGTTGGAGCGGTACCCACTGATCTCTATTGTAGTAGGCTGGATCGCGGACCATGGCCTCGGCAGCTGGGGCCGAGTGTCGCCACCGGCGGCCATTGATTGACACCAGCAAATGCATGGGACTCTATGGGAAGAACGAAAAAAAGTGCTGTTTTCCCCTGTTTCTAAGCTGTTCTCGGTGCTGAAACTTTTGGGATGCTTTTCGATAAGCCCGCCAAATATCTTGCGTACAAAATTTAAAACTGACAGCCCTCGCAGCTCTTATAAATAAATATTTTGTGGTCGAGAGTAACTCCGCTGTAGTGCAGCTCAATAAGGCGAGAGTTACCTAGAGTTACCACGGGGTCGGTGGCGGTTTCGCCGAGTTGGGTTTAGCAGACGACGAGCTCGAAGGCTTCGCCAGCTTCGCTACGCGGGATTCGCTCACTTCCGGAAAGCCGCTGTCGAGATGGAACTTCTTTGTCATTCATTCATTAACCTCAGGCTTCCCTGAGAACGGTTTCACTGACGGCAAGTTCCTTTGTTTACTCCACTACGAGAGCAAGCTTCCCAGCTCAGCCGTAGGTGCTCCGCTACGTTTGATTTTTTTATTCGGCGATCGAACGTTTGAGAAATACCAATTCGATCTCCAAACACCCGACATAAAGATCGCAGCACACCATAAAATACTGGACTCCGAGCACAGCGTACATGCTTCAATATTCTTACTTTTGTGCTTTTCTTCCATAGACTTGCGTGTATTGCCTGGTGTCAAGCAATGGCTGCCGGTGGCGACACCGAAGGGCTCCCGATCCGCGATCCAGCAGTGGCGGTACCCGCCCGAACCGCCGTTGAACATATCAAAGCTGCAGTGCTTGTTCCTCACAAGAACGGAGCTACGCCTTGAAATTTCGCACGACAAAACACACCTTACTGTGTCGGTGGTCAGATTCCACCCAAAAGTAGCGCTAGCGGTTCGAACAAGATACAAGTTTCAGAACGAACCATTATCTTATTTATGGAGAAAAAAAAAAAAAAAAAAGTTACACGCGATTTTTGTAAAGTTTTAATTGTAAAATGATGACCGACGAAGCCTACGAATACATGAGGCTGAATGACCTGGGCGGGACGAAGCGCTAACGCAACATTGTAGAAACAACAATAGAAAGGGTAAAAGTGGGATCATATATAAACAATATGAATCGGGCTACATAAACCAATTAAATCATCAATTTACACATACATATGTGGTGGCGGGCTGGCAGGCGCTCTGCGTAAGGGTTTTTCACCTATCTGCCTAGCACCGCACACCACCACATGTGCCCATTCCGGTACGTGCAAATGAACTTATTATTTACAAGCAGTTAGCTGATGGACACGTAGTACTTTCTGCATTTTTGATGCAAGCATTCAATATTTTAGGTCCAAAATAAAACTATTCTCCGATAAGAACAAATAACGCTCCTAACTACTCATTAATGACCTTTTTAGAAACCTCTACAGAGGGTGGATGATCCATCCCCTCATTACATTTCGAAAGGGCATAATACAAATGGCGATTATTTCGACATCGGTTCCTCAGGAATAATTTCATTTCTGGATGATTGCCCTGTGGAAAATTACAACTTGCGCAGAGTAGTATGGTACTGAACGACTGCACAATATTTGTTTTGTTTTAGTAGAGGCGTGCGAATATCCGAAACTTCAAACAATTTGCGAATAGTGTTTGCTATTCGATTCGCTTTGCAGCAAACACAATATTTTTGTTCAAAATGTTCGCTTTTTTTTTTTTTTTTTTCGAAAAGTATTGGGGATAAAGGAATTCTTCGGCCGCGTGAAACTTCACCGCTTCGCACCAGCGCTCCGGCGTCAAGCTTCACTGCTTCACACCGGCGCGCCCGCGTCAAGCTTCTCTGCTTTGCACCGGAGCGCTATGAGAAGCGGCTGATCTCGGTTGATTCGATGGTCTTGAAACTTTTGCTCGATATTATGGTCAGCCTTCTTTGGTTATAGTTTGAACCCTCATTTTAACTTTTTCCCGACCGCGCCCATAGGCAATCGATCACCGGTAATCGATGGTTTCCAAGCGCCGTCAATAAATTCAATTTAAGGTGGAGAGTTGTGTTCCACAATCTCGTGGATAGCCGAAGAACAGCAGTTTCAGTTTCAACATAGGTCTGAGCTTTATCACAAGTTGGCGAGCTGTCAAAAATAGTTCTGGGAACCGTGGATGCACTTGCATAACATGGCTAACTGCATGCATCAGTCTTCGTAACAAAGATGGAATTATTTACGTAATTCAACTGTACTGTGGCATATTTTTAGACCCTAAGAGCTACGGGAACCCTTGAAACGATGTTATAAGCATCACTTAACAGATGGTTGTCGGTAAGTATCACTAATTTCCAATGCTGCCCTGAGCCGGCATGCACGTTTTATGTTCACAACAAGGCGGACAAAAACGCTAAATATCAAGGAACTGCAATCAAGGCTATGACAAAACTAAGGTAAAACACAAAGAAAGCACTCTGCTGGGGATGTGAGGTGTGCTATCTGTGTTTCAAAAGCACATGTGTTACGGAGGCTAACTCAGACGAGCCAAAAATAGACGTCAGTTAGAGTACACTAACTTTCAGAGGCCTTGGGTGTGGGGCACATTTTGTATATTGTCAATATATATGTATGTGTGTGTGTATGTATATATATATATATATATATATATATATATATATATATATATATTTTTTTTTTTAAATTTGACATAGGTGTATAAGTTTCAATCACTCACTCAATCAATCAATCAATCAATCAATCCAGCAATCATTTTATTTGCGTCTGTACACGTGTACAGGCACTGGAGGCATGAACAAAAAGCCGACACATGTCGGCTTGACGAGGTTCACGCCCCCTTTTTTGGCAAACAACAAGCAATCAAAAGATAAAAAAAGAAAAAAAAGTCATACTTAAAGAAAAAAATCACGTAACAATAGTTAAAATACACGTTTAAAATTGGGCTATAGATTACAATGTTAAGGGAAAAAAAAATACACACTATATGCTAAAATACAATTGTATGACAGAAATATTCATAGAAACATCAGTTTTAAGGAATGAGATGTTAAATGTTCGATGATAATGTTATTTTCAATTAAATGGTTTAGTAAAAAAGGAAGGCGATGTTTTAGCATTTGAGTTCCATAGGTTGTTCGACTGAATGGTATCCTCCATACTTCTTCGTGACGTACGTTATAAGGTCTAATATTTATTGTTAATTCTGCGGTGTTACTAATGTCAGGCGTCTTTTGTTTAATACTTGCTATATATCGAATAAGTAAAGTGTATTCGTACAGTTTGTTTAGGGATAGGACGTTCAATGATTTAAGCAATGGTTTCGTGTGGGTTGATTGTGGTACATTGATTATAGCTCGGATTGCCTTCTTTTGAAGAATCGTTAATTTGTCCAAGTTAGTTGAAGTTGATGTGCCCCAGACCAAGTGACAATAATTCAAATGCGACATGAATAAAGAATTGTAAATGAGAAGCTTAATTTTGACTGGCACTTATATGCCTTCAGCACATACATTGTATTTTCAAGAAACAAAACTCGGTTTCTTTTGAAAGAACAATTGACCACATTTTGAGATGTCATATAGCTCCATACAGAAATTAGGAAAACAAAAGCATTCGCACGGATCCTTCGAAAATCACTACTTTTCCAATGGTCAGGCTGTGCAGGAAACGAAGACCTCAAGGTATATTAAAACAAATAAGGTTTGAACAAATAAACTTAACAAATCAGGGGTGTCTCATGAATTTTGTATAAAGCAGTTTCTTTTCATAAGTATGCCTTTTAGAAGATATCTCCAATCGTGATGTATTAAAGTATCAATGCTAAATTCACATTAAATGTAAAATCGGTTTATAAAAATATTCAATTTCAATCCCCAGTGAAATTTAAATATTCATATTCGATTCACAAGCAAAAATTTTATATTCACGCCCCTCAAATAATAAGTTGTGACAATGTGGTTCAAAGCTGCAAGCAAAATTTGAGCAATTTCTAGCTCTGTCTTTTTAATGTCTTATAATGGGGAAAAAAAAAAAAATGTGGGTACATCACCAAACATATCCTATTTCTATATATAAA